TTTCATTCATAGTTGTTGTGAATTCGCAGCAATGAACATGGATACACAACTGCCTCTGTGGTAGGACACAGTCTTTTGGTTGTGTGCCCAGGAGTGGTGTAGCTGGGTCATATGGTGCTTGTACTTTTTTGAGGATACACACACACACACACACAGATATCCGTAGTCCTGCATTGGTTTACACTCCAATCAACAATAACTAAAAGTTACCCCTATGCACATCCTCACCAGCATTTGTTACCATTTGTTTTCTTGGAGACAGCCATTCTGACTAGGATAAGATGGATCTCAAATAGTTTTAATTTTCATTTCCCTAATGGCCACAAATGTTGATCACTTCTTAAAATAGGTATTGGTTATTTGTATTTCTACCTTTCAGAACTTCTATTCAGTTCCTTAGCCCATTCTTGGAGTAGGTTGTTTTACTCTTATTTAATTTTTTTATTTTAGTTCTTTATATATTCCAGATATGAATCTTCTGTCAGTTGACAAAACATTTGTCAGTTTGCAGAGATTTCTCTTCATATAGAAGCTGCCTCTTCACTCTATTAGAGTTTTGTGGGGTTATTTTAGACTAGGTCTTGCTATGTTTGTCCATAGCGTGCATATCCCTGACCCTGGTTTATTTTTATCATTTATTTTAACCACTTTGTATCCTTATGTTTCAAATGAATCTCTTGTATATATGGATTTTAAGAGCTCCTACAGCTAAATAATTTAGTCCATTTATATTTATTGCAGCTATAAATATATTTGCTTTGATTTTATTCATCTACTTTGGAGCGATATCCTATTTTTTCTGGATAATTCATATAAATGCAGCTTTACCTACTTTACTTCTTCCCTCTCACCCCTTCCAGCTTCTGGCTGAAATGCACTTTAATAATTTTTGACATTTAGCATATGCACCTGACTTAATAAGATTTAAAGTGAGCTAACATTACTAGAGGTAGTATTATGGCTTCGGGGTGATTTGATTCATAGAGATGTGGACATTAGTCAGAACCAGAGCTAAGTCCTGTTTTATACATGCTGGGTTTGAGGACCACCTAAATCGAAACTCCCTATCATCAATAGCTCATGCAGTTTCAAAATGCCTTTCTTGATGGATAGTTCTCTGTTGCATAAACAGCAACAGGCAATAACAGGTATTAATGTTTGCCTGGCCTTGGTTCTCAGAATCACATCTTTTTCCTCAGCAGTCACTAGATCCCTAATGAGCACAATGCCTCCTGGGAACATCAGGATTCCCAAGTCACTTACACATCTGACCATATCTGAGTCTGCAACAATGACTTGAATTCTCCCTACATGACCAGCTAATCTTTGCCTTCTTCATCTACTCTGTTATCACGTTTGTGATTGGAGGAGAAGCTTAGCTAATTTATGCCACATATGGAAGAGAATCAAAAACTCTTAAATTAATCTGACCCAGATCACACCCGGCTTCAGCTAGTTTAATATAACCATGTCCTATTATCTCTAAAAAGTTGGGTCACAGTTTTACACTTTCCAAGTGCTTTTAGAATATTGTTTTGTTTTTGTGTGGTGATCTAATAAAGCTTGCCTGAAGATCAAAGTGCAGAGCTAAGCCACTAGTTAGCCACACACACACTAAGCTACTAGTTAGCCACAGAGAACAGGCAGTGGTGGCCACACCTTTAATCCCAGCGCTCAGGAAACAGAGGCAGATGGATCTCTGTGAGTTCTAGGCCACCGGAGGCCACATGAGAGTGAATCCATTTAAAAGAGAAACAGAGCTCACACCTTTGATCCTAGTACTTGGGATGACATGCCTTTAATCTCAGCACCAGAGAGGACTATAAGGGAGTCTGAGGTTTGGTGGAGACAGATTGCATTCCGAGGAATTGTGGAGACAGGATCACCCATTTTGGTCTGAGGTAGAGGTAAGAGCTAGTAGCCAGCCACTTTGCTTCTCTGATCTTCTCTGATCTGTCTCTGGGTTTTTATTATTCATGCTACAGCTTTTGTTTAACCCCTCAGAGGAGTCTGTGTGGTAGGTGGAGTGGGAGTCATTAGAGGAAACATCTCCAGAGTGGGTGACACATCCATGTTCCCATTTCTGCATGACCCAGGGCTATACAGTAAATGCTTGTTATCCCATGTGGAAAAATGACTTGAGTTCCCAGGCTAGAGTATAAGCTTCCCACTGTTTCATCTGTCTGACCCAGGGGCCACAGCTAACAGAGTTTGTCAGCTTTTAACGTGGACGTTCCAATAGGTTTAGTGTTTCTCTCACTTTTATGCCAATGAGAAACCAAGAAAATCGTCTGGCTTTCCTAAAATCTCACCAGTATCCTAAATCCAGGAGGGAAATGATGAGAGGGAGTCCATTGGATTTGATATGATCCATCTTGCATACAGAAAATCCCCTCTCTGGATAGTCACTAAAACAGCAGTAATAAAAAGCAGAGTTTGCAAATCCACATTATTCTTAATGCCTGACTTCACTTAGTTAATGGAATCATTTACGAGAGCAATTTGTAAAAATCCCCAGGGACACTTGTTAAGGTTGTTGCCTTATGGTTTTGCCACACCATAGACTTCCTTTATTCATATCCTTTAGCAAACAATGGATTGGCCAAAGAATTCTGGACCATCCACTTCTGGAAACATAGGTAAATTGTAAATAAAATTAAAAATAAGAGGCAGTTGGATCTCTGTGAGTTCAAGGCCATCCTTACCTACAGAATGAGTTCCAGGATAGCAAGAGCTACACAGAGAGAAACCCTGTCTCAAAAAAGAAAAATAAACAAACAAGGTTTTTCATTACCCCCCCCACTCCACATCCCCAGGCCTCAGATGATCCAGAACTCTACCTACCACAGCTATCAGCTTCATAAGTGAAGCCAGACTTATTTTAAGGAGTCAACACGTGGCTTTCAGCATTCAGGTGCAAATGTGAACTAAAGGGCTAGAAGAGGGAGCATCTGAATGGTGCAGCCATCCTGTGACTATCCCACTTATGAGAGGAGCAGGCCAAGAAGAGAGGTGTGGCCTTATATACTTCAGTTCTCACTGTGTTTCAGAAGGAGGGGCCCCAACGACCTGCTGGTTACAGGCCAAGGTTCTGAACTGACCTAGGTTCTGAAAGGATGACACCTAGACTGCATGGCTTATACATACATGTAATTGAGAACATTAGTATAATCCCTAGACAGAGCTGGTACCTCCAACACCATCCAGCCTTCTGGTATATCTATTCAGCTTTGTGTCAACTGGCGGACACAAGAATACAGGCAAATAGAACCAAATTCATGCCTAGCATTCAGAAAACAACCTAACAGCCACCCCTGGTTTGGACCGAAGAGAGATGGCCATCCTTGAAATGAAGCTGGCCCACACCACTGGAAATGCAAACATGAACTGCCACTAGAGGAGACCCTGAGACAAGGAAGTTCTAATCTCCTAAGACTGGCAATACCAGTGGTAGCCATTAGAGTGTGGTTATTGTTTCCTGTGTAGCAAATTAAGTACACAACTTAGGAAGTATGGGAAATGCAATCAGAAACCACCGCTGAAAGAGACCCTGAGACAACAAGAAAGTTCTACTCCCCTAAGATTGACAATTCCAGCGGTAGCCGTTAGACTGTGGTTATTGTTTCCTAGATAGCAAATTAAGTGCACAATTTAGGAAGTATTGGTGATAAAAATAAATGAAAAAATATATGATCTCTTACTTGCTCTGTTAAGAAGGGGAATCTGTGAGCTAATGGAGCAACACCTGAAGTTTGGGAAGTTAGTCACACCAGAAATCTGAAGTTTGGGAAGCTGGTCACACTGGAAATGGCTGTATTGCTTTACATCAGAGGGGATCCAGGGAGCCAGGTGTAGTCAGTTGTACAGTATATGTTAAATTAGTATGTAGAGCTGAGTAGTGGTTTGGAATGCCTTTAATCCCAGCACTTAGGAGGCAGAAGTAAACAGATCTCTGTGAGTTCAAGGCCAGCCTGATCTACAGAGAGAGTTCCAGTACAGCCACAGCTACACAGAGAAACCCTGTCTCGAAAAACCAAAAACAACTTCTACTGTCTTTGTAGTTATTAGAATTTTCTTTTCCTAAATGGCTAGGCAAACATATGGCTTAAAATTCTAACTTTCTTTGGTTTTGTTCTCAAATCCACCATGTCAATAAGTGACACATTTTACACTATTATGAATGCACATGTAATGGATATATGTAAAGTTAGAGGTTTATAAAATGTTATGTGATAGGCTCTATATTATAAGTACATCTCATATTAGAAAATAATTAAGATGAAGATGGTCTGGGTACAAGGACAGACCTGATTACCCGTGCGATTACAGGGTCTTTGGGGATAGTTTTAAAAGTAGCAGTGACCAGGCACAGCCTTCAAGATGCTCTGTCTCAGAAAGTGTACAATGCTTGCTCTTAAAAATGCCCCAAGCCCCTCTCTCTGCCTTCTTCCCTTCCTCCAGAAAACTTAGAAAGTTGCCATACACATTAGCCCTCTGGTAGCCCTGCTTCACCCTTGGCTCACAGGTGCCCAAATGCCCAGGCCATCTGTGCCCTCCTCCCCACTCTAGCTTGGCAGTATCTAGTCAAAACAGTGTGAGGGTGGAAAGCAGAACCTCAGCCTCGGCCTCTTGGCTTCTGTGGGTTTCAGCCAGACTCCAGGTGTTATTTTAGAACAACTATAGTATTTAATTTGAGGATGCGTGTGGACCAGAAGGAGGAACTGAGACCTAATGTTTTCCCTCATGACAAAATGATTAAATTTGAAATTCTAAAAAAAAAATAGCTTGTTGCAAAATTGCATCCAATTGGGAAGAGAGAGCTGGCTGGAAAATCTCTCCCAGGCAAGGGACCATCCCTCATCTACACTACCCACCTCAAGGCCCCTCCACTTTGGATATCACGTGAGCAGTCCATGGCCCTGCTCGATCCTTCCCTTCCTCAATATGTCTATCATACATTTACTAGAGAACATTCTACAGGTGTGTTTCATTTCTTTCAGTCCTGAGAGTTCCATCATCGGTCGCTGCTGAACCATGGCTGAAGGGGAAATCACCACCTTCACAGCCCTGACGGAGAGGTTTAATCTGCCTCCAGGAAACTACAAGAAGCCTAAACTGCTCTACTGCAGCAATGGGGGCCACTTCTTGAGGATCCTTCCAGATGGCACAGTGGATGGGACAAGGGACAGGAGTGACCAGCACAGTAAGCAGCTATCTGAATTGCACCCACACTTTCCTGTGTCTTCCCCAGTCCAGCATGGGAGGATGGCAGGGACTGGGTACAGGCACCTACTTTCTAAGGCTTTGTGTAGGCAGAATGCATTCACAAGAGAGATAGCATACAAGTACAGGGGGGCTGGCCTTTGGCAGACGGGGAGCTGTGAGTTACCACTTACCTGATTGCATCTTATTACAAGCTTTTGGAAGATTCCTCTGTTGGCCTGACATATCCTATGCTTGGGTTCAATCACTGCACATCAACCCTCCCTTTCTATAACCTAACAGAAGATCAGGCTCTCAAGCCAGACAAGAGCCTGCTCATCCCTGATGGGAAGAACCTAATGGTCAGAGACGGGAAATCTTGCACAAAGATACAGGCTCAATTTCAAGTTAACAGACTCTCCAGGTGATGTCTCCACTCTAACCATAGCCTAACACATCATAAATTATGCAGCTTTCCTGCAGCGCATTGTGCAGATGTGGCTGTGGTATGCAGAAGGGGTCAAATCATTCTCCAGAAACTAATGGAGCCTGAGATGGGAGCCCCGGAGTGAGAGGTTGATGATTCTGGGCTTTCCCAGCAGCGGCTTTCAGACAAGGTTGATAAATGGAGGCGTGGCTTAGGGAAAATAATCTACCTGACCAGTACTTCTACTGTTTGTGTGTGTGTGTGTGTGTGTGTGTGTGTGTGTGTGTGTGTGTGCCCATGTGTGTCAGTGTGTGTGCCTGTGTGTTTATGTGCTTTTGTGTGTGTGTGTGTGTGTGTGTGTGTGTGTCTGTGTGTGATATCAGGTGTCTGCTATCTATAAGTGTCAGAGATTCCCTGAGTAGCACTAGGGTATTAGATGTTGCAGAGAAGTCAAAAGTCAGATCTGCTCCCTGCATAGAGGAGCAGCAATCGCAAGAGCCAAACATGCTTCAAGCAGAGAGACACAGGAAAGCACAAGTGGAAAGGAGACTTGGGACTGGCTTGAAAATGGGAAGCAAATTGCTGATGTGCTGATTTATGTGTTAGATATTGAATTATACCTGGGTAAGCACTGGACTCAGTGCAATGATGGCTTCTGAGATGCTCCTCTGTTCCATCTCAGATGCATAAATGACCGGGATGGGTGTCAGCACTGTCTGTCCCTCTTTCCCCCAGAAAGATGGGTGCTACAGCTTACACCTGTCTTCAAGTGGGCCTCCTACATGTTTTCCATTCTATGAAAAATGGGGACCCAGAACAAGCTAAAAGTAGAAGTTTTAGAACATTAAAAATGACCAAGTCTGGGCTGAGCCTGTGCCCAATTGATAGAGTGTTTGCCTAGCATAGGAGGCCTCACCAAATATAAACTGGATACAGTGTTACACATCTATAATCTCAGTACTCGGGAGGTGGAGGGAAGAATAATCAGAGGCAAATCATCCTACAGCTACACAGTTTGAGCAGGGCTTAGAATAGAGAACCTGTCTGGCAAATAAAGTTAGGTTTTAGTTCATTGTATCAGGAATAATATACAATTCATGTGTCCACCCACACAACCCAGGGGAACAAGCTTTAATTTCTCTGAAATATTTCTACTAAGTCTTAACAATTCTCTGAATTAACGGGGGATATTTTACTTTCCAAGATCCAAACCAAAGTTGATCGTGTGACGTTCCTTGAGATTTGTATGGTTCTTAGAAACCTTAAGCTTCAGGGTAACAAGAGGGTATAGCTACTGGGTTTCTGGACAAATGTCATGTGCCTTCATTCTGATCATTCTATCATTAGCAGTATAGGATGGCTCTGGGTGCATAACATTGGGACAGCTTGTGGTGGGACTTAGCTGCTGGGCTTAAGCTGTCAGAAGCCCTGGAAACTCTGCATAGCTCAGTAGCAGAGCTGTAAGGAAGTACATCCCCAAGGGATGCTAAGATATTTGCTGTGTGAAGTTGGTGAAAATACTCATTGCATGTTCCTTGGGAGAGTTAAATGAAATAATATAGTAAATGTTCTTGGCACAATACCTTCCTGGCCCAGGGTAACAGTTCAGTGCATGCTATCCAATATTGCTGTTACCCTCCAGAGCCTCCAGACTCACTGCGGTGTATGGACATGCAATGTGATACTAAGGCACTTCTCTTGGCCCAGGAAGGGCTGGAATCTGGATTCAGGCTCCTCTGCCAACATTCAAAGCAGTTCTATGAGCTTATTGTTTGCTTACTCTGGAACTAAGAACGAGGGCCAAGGGGACAGTCCTAAGGTAAATAGGCAGCAATCTACCCTGTACTGGTTAAAACCATAATGGACAGTCAGGGCCCTGGAATGCTGGTGCTCATGGCCTACTCTGCCACTTTCTAACCAGACAATTGATATTCTCTCTGTTCTCATGAAGTGCTCAGCTAAAGAGGCTTCACATTGTCTGGTCAATGATTCTTCTAGTCCCCAGTGTTCCCAGAGGCCTCACTCTGTGCCCCCCCCCCCCCCAGCTACAAGCCTGCCACAGAGGGCCTCCTAAGCATGGGTGCAATCTCCCTGAGTGTGGCTCTGTCGCCATCTTCTGCCCAGCAGTGGCACTGCCATTTTGAACCTCAGGCCTGGTAGGCAGAGGCAGCTTTGGGCAGTTTGAAGTGGAAACCCTGGAGAGCCAGGATCCACACACACCATCTGCCAAATGGAAGGTTTTTGTTTGTTTCTTTGTTTGTTTTCTTTTTTGGTTTTTCGAGACAAGGTTTCTTTGTGTAGTCCTGGCTATCCTGAACTCAGTCTGTAGACCGGGCTGGCCACAAACTCAGAGATCCATCCACCTGCCTCCACCTCCTGAGCACTAACCGGGGTTAAATAAAAGCATGTGTCACTACAGACCAGCTTGGAAGTTCTATTCTTTAATTGGTCTGAGAATGACAGGCAGAGCCACATCTCAAAGTTTCCTGAAGGAAAAGCACCCTAAAACATCAGTCAGATACTTAGGTAAATCATAAAACTCACAAGATAGAACTTGCCTCAGAGCCTAGCAAGACAAAAAGTTCATTTCTTTCACAGTTTCTCTCTGTCCTCAATGAGTTGATGTGCTGTGCACAAAGTAGTGAAATTATCCAAATTTGTCTGTCTTACCCTTGGGAGAAATAGTCTCCAGGTACCTTACCTGTGCTATCAAATTCTAAAGGATGCTATGCACTGGCAATCCCAAAATAGACGTAAGTAAAATGTCTCTACCAGATTCCTGTAGAGAGGGGAGGTGGGGCTTGTGCCTTCACCAAGGCTTGAGCCGCAGCTCTGGGCAACTGTCTGTACAGTACGTAAACACTAGTTACAATGCCATAGTATCCATGATAGAGTCAGACATACAGTGTGGACTACCCCCTGGGGTGCAGCTTGTGAAAAGATTGCTTGTCACAGCAGAATGCCAGCCCTGAGAGACAAGTAGATATGAAACTGAGACAGTCTAGGGAGAGCCACGGGGTCATGGGGAGGTGGCCAGTTCCATGTTGGGCACAGAGCACGGGAAGGCTGCCACAGATCTGTGCACTCTTCCTTTGCAGGTTCATTTCTGCATTTCCCTGTGTGGTTGTTTACTGGCTTCTTCCCTGCAGGCCCCCCAAGGACAAGGACACTGTCTCATGATGCTCAGCACTGCAACTTTTGTGTTCAGCATATTACCTGTCACTTGGTTCAGAGCCCAGTAAACATTCATTTGATGAACAGCTAGATGACTTGTATTGTTGGCAGATAAATTTAAACCCAACAATATCTCAAGAAATGTCTGTCAAGCACTGATACATGCCAGGTACTGCACAGATGGTTATTTCCACCTGACAGCAATCCTCTGAGGTCACTAGCCATCATTGCGCTGAAAACACTAACACTAACAGGATGTGACTGGCCCCTCACAGGGACAGTTTGTGGAGCCTGGCCCCTCTGTTCTAATACTAAGACCATTCCCTAAGGATCTCACCACCACCCTGACACTAACACCATGACAGACAGCATTTTCACCCTGAAAACTAGATATATTGGCATACTTATCCTATCACATGGCACAGACAGGCAAGGGCAGGTTGATGTCCCCTGACTGTGTTTACCAGATCTGTGACACCTTGTGGTAGTTACTTTTCCTCTATGCACCTAAGTTTCCTTGTTTTAAAAGTAAGAATGCCAACAGTTCTTTACCTCTTAAGTAAGTAGGGATGTGAAATGTGATATTTCTAAGTGTGCCCAAAACACTGCCAAGCAACTGAATACTCAAAACAGTGCCATTCTCCAGGGTCACCATTGTCCTCTTCCTTAGGCTCATTGGGCCACCTCATCCAATCATCTGATAGCTGGCCATTAAATAAATCCTAAACTTGTTCACAGAACTGCTGATGACTTTACATCCCAGCTTATCTGTCGCAATTGGAGCTCCTGGGACCTGGTGTAGAGCCACAGCCTGCCCAGGCCCTAGCCCAGCAAGCCCTGCCCATCTAACTTTCCTGGGGCAGAAGCCACTAGAGCAAAGGCAAAGAGTTCTATGCTTGTCTGCTCTTCCTGCCAGAGTTTCCTCTCTGGAGAAGGCATGTCTGATCTTTCTCTTCTGTAAGATCAACAGCTGGAACAGCAGCTGGAAAGGAAAAGCACACTCCTAAACATCCCTAAGCTTCAGCCTCCTCCTGGAACCTACAGCCCCTAGCCTCTCCGCTTGTGTGTAGGAAGGAAGCTGTGGGGGTGGGGGTGGGGGGATGCTCGGCACCACTCACCACACAGATGGAAATGTTCTTCAGCAGAGTGTGTGCCAATCAAATATTTATAAATCTAGCCACATCCTAAAAGCACCAGGGGAGTTTGTTCGTCTAAAGGATCTTACTGCAATGCCCTGGATCCAGGCAGACCACACTGCAGTGAAATCCCTCCTTGTATACTGTTCGGGGGTAGTCCAGACTTCCGTTGTCTGGTCTGCTGGGAGTCCACATTTAATGGTAAAGGCATTGTATTCCCCACCAGCTTGGATTCCAAGACAGGACAGCTTTCCAAAGAACCAC